TGGTCTGTAGGACTATTGTCATGACCTATATTAATGGTGTTCACTGTTGCCTCCTTCTTCAAAACTTGCATCCTTTGTTTGACTACTGCAAGATTGTTTGGTAAAAGTACTTCTTTGTCTTTAAAGGGCAACTTTAAACAATATTGCTTCCCTTGCAACACTGCTGAACGATCCATGCTTTCCATAAACTGGAGATCTTCTTGGGACATTTCACTTCCCTCCACGACTTTCTCGTTGAACTCATGCTTATATTGGTTTGCCAACATTTCTTCCAATTTGCACACAGAAATTCTGTTCACTGCGGCTGTGAGAGGATCATCTTTTAAGATATCACTGTTACCATTCAGTGTACCACTAACCACCCATCCTAATACTGTCTTAATAGCATACGGACCATTTCCACAACTATTAATAACTTCCCAGGGTTCCAGCAGTTTAGACGCATTGGTTCCAATCAGCAAGTCCACATCCGCTGTTATGGTTGCAACATTGACCTTTGATAAATATGGCCATTTTGTCAGTTCTTCCTTTGTCATCATGTTATCAACAGTGACAGGCATTTTCACTTGTGTGAGGACTTCAGGAAGACTGTAGAAGTCATCACTGTGTAGGCCAGATACCTCCAAATCATTCAGTAAGTGTGTTGGCAAAACTGTTTTTTGCCCCATTGTGCTCAACAGGAAGCTGGTTTTCCGACCAGCAACATTCAACCTTTGCATCAGCTGCTCAGTACAAAATGTGGCTGAGCTTCCAGGATCCAAAAATGCATAGGTGTGTATTATTTGATTTCCCTTGGTGCTTTTAACCTTTACTGGTAAGATAGACAGCACACACTTTTCATTACCGGCCCCTGTATGTCCACATGTTTTGGGTGAAATTAACTGGTTGGAAGTATCCACTGTTTCAACCGGTGTTTCTCTTTTTATATGAAGCACAGTAGGATGGAGGTGTCCACAAACTTTGCATTTTAGACGGGCCTTACAATCCCGGCTCAGGTGCCCTGTACACAAACATGCAAAACAAATCCCCTTTTCCATCAGAAATGAGAGCTTTTCTTTGTGCCTTTTTTCTTTAAATTTCTTGCATCCCTCCAATGGATGTATGTGAGCACAATAAAGACACTCATCGGATGCTGGCTCTTTATTTCCTTTTGATACCTCCATTGAAGTTACTGTGGTGGCAACAACATTTCCTTTTACTCTGTTGCTGGATGGTATTCTGAAACTGGTAACAGCCTTTGTCCCAATGACACCAGAGATTGGGTCATGCATTTCACCAAACAATGGATCTGACAAAATCTTGACACGACGTTCGATGAACAGGACCAAATCGTTAAAACATGCTGGACGTCCGGTTGATTCCATTATTTCATAAGCACTGGTCCTCCATTGCTCCTTTAACTTAAAGGGTAGCTTTGCAATAATGGCTCTCATATGTACGGGCATGTCCAACTCCTGCATGTGTTGCAGATCTTCCATGGCATTACTGCATCCTCTTAAAAACAAGGAATAGGCTTGTAGTGCTTTCAGATCTTCTGATTTCATGAGTTGCCAGGAAAAAGCCTTTTCCATGTAAGCACTTGAAATCGTATATTGATTTCCAAAATGTTTCTGTAACAACTCCTTTGCCATTGTATAGCCACGCTCCGGAGCCATGTGCTGACAACTGCGTACCAACTCACGTGGTTGTCCTCTTGTAAATTGCTCAAGATAATACAAGCAATCAGCTTTTCCTGTCTTTTTCTCCACTCCTTGTTCAAAGGCTTTTATGAAGGCTCTGTATTGAAGAGGGTCACCTTCAAATATAGGAATATTCCTTGGTGGTAATGAGGTCAACTGTTGCTGCTGTAACAATGCTGCTGATATTTCATTTTGTCTATGCATGACATTCAGTATATTTTCAGAAACGTCTTTATTGCTTTGTGGCTGCTGTATTGGTTGAACAGTTAAAGGATGAGCCAAAAGATGAGATGTTTCTGGAATATTGTCCTCTTCCTGGTGACGAAGCAGATATTTTGAGGAATCCTCAATCCATTGCCTTGTTTTTGTAGGTTGCACATCTTTTAATAGCTGCCTTGCACTTGTTTGAGTTGTTTTCAATGCTCCAGGTTGATATTCCTTTGCCAGTGGATTTAAAACATCATGAGCCTTTTTCCTTTTTTCCCTTTCAAAATAAGAGTTCATGCCATTGCTCGATCCTTGTGAAGAACCTTTTCCTCCAAAAGTTTGCAACACAGCCAGTTTTGCATCAAATGCAGCAATTTCTGTTTCCAGTTCCAGCTGTTCCTTTTTCCTCTTCAACATCAATTCTTCCTCCTCCAATGCATGTTTTTTCTTTAATTCTGCAGCACGAGCCAGAAGTGCTGCTTTGTCTGCCTGAGCCATGACAGCTGCCACTGATGTGCTGCTGGATTTATTACTACGACCACTTTTGTGACTTGAATATTTACTGATATTTGAAACACTGTCATTAGGGTTTATATCATCAACAACCTTGTCATTTTTATCACCATCATCATTTGAAACCCACACCTTAGTGTTCTCAACACACTCATCAATAGGAAGCATTTTTGCTTTAAACCATATTTCATGTTTTTCCTTTTCATCAACCGGCAATAAACCCATCAAATCATTATGCAAACCTTTTACCTTAACATACAGCGCAAGCATGTCTTCCAAAGCATTTTTTACCATTGATTTTTCATTTTTCTGCATCAAACTTTGTATTGACTTCATTAATACTGCTGCTTTGTTTAATATTGCTTTTCTACCTGATTGCAACCTGTCCAACTCATTAACAAGTGCCTTCTCAGTGAGCTTTACCACTCTTTTTACTGCTACCGTTTTAGCACAGTCCGACAGGCTACTTGCAATAGATTGCACGTTAGTCCCGTGATTCATTATCTCCGACTTTGTTTCCTCGGTTTCCATGACAACCCCCCCAGGTTCGCAGCGAAGATGAAAACTTGTACAAAGTTGTAGCTCCCTTAATTCGGTTACCAATGCATTGGATTTTTGTTTTTCTTTTGTGTGCACACAATTTAAATGGCCATGCTCAGCGTAGCGCTACGCATACCTCTTTGATGGGCGCCGTGACGACTTGTGGCTGCGGTGATCCTCAGCTTGATCCGACGCCTTGATTTCCTCCTCCAAACAAACAGGAAACGCCCTTCAGACCCGCAGTGATCCAACGCATATCCAATTGCTCCACTTGTCACACAGCTCCCTTTCGACCAGCGACAACAGCGTCCAACGACGTCCACTAATCCCACGGGAGGTTTTTGACTAAATGTAGAAGTCAAGTCCAGTACTCGAACTCCTGAGGCTGCTAGACCGGGACCTGGTTGACGCTCTGTGTTGATCCGATGTTGACTGATTAAATTACGTAAAAAACAGCCTTAAGCGTGGAATTGTTATGATAATGCTTGTTTAATGTTGATTGCATTCCAGGTGAATGATAGGAGTAATTGCTAACTTTCCCATTCAAACGTCTTCACGCCACAGCGGTCAAAAACCTGTTTGCCCTTCCGGAATAGTGCCTGACACAAACAATGACATCACTACCTTTATTCCGACCAGTAACAATGACACGCCCACATATCAATTAAGACATCGAGACCAAAGAAAAGGAAACAACATATTTGGCTCCTACACACTGATTAGTCATTTATCCCAAAAGAGCCGTGGGGGCTGGAGTTATGTCACGTCAGTCTGATGTTTGTGACAGAACTAGGACTGTGGTTGCATTCCGCCGATGTCCGTGAGGGTGCGTGCAAGGTGGGGGTTGATGGTGGAAGTCGAGATGGTTCTCATCAAGGGCCCGTATCTCATCGTTCACAACGGGTTTTCAAAGTGATTTGTTCATGAACATCCCATCACTAATCAATTTAGATGTAATCAAAACTTGCAATTATGAATACGTATAACGGCGTATCCATTTAGCGGTTAGCAGATGAGCCAGGGCCAGTGGCTTGTGGGGCTGGGATGCATTTATTATTTCTGGTGTCCTCGTGAGGCCTTTTGCATGTAGCCTGGCCTGCCAGAATCCTCCGCTGTTTAATTCTGCACAGAGAAAGTCTGGTAGAGATGTGACGTTCACGAACGAATGGAATCTTTTGAACGGATTTTCAAAGTGAATGATGAGAGCCGGGTCCCTGTAGAGAGCCGTTCATCTTAACAAACCTCCCCTGAAGTCAGTCAAACTCACCCACTCAAACCCCACCCACCGATGTGACGGACGTAGGAGGAACCATAGATATAAACACAGCCCCGTGCGCCCTCACGGACGCAGCAGGAAGACGAAGATTTTTGAGCTGCAAGTCCCGCGCCTCAAGTGCCTCTCTGCCTGTGAGTGACCAGACTCATTCTCTGTGCAGAGGACGAGTCTGGCAGGCATGGACGTAATTTTCACTTTAGAAGTGGGGGGGACACGGGGGTTGGGGTGGGAGGGGTATCTTTACAGTATGTTCTAATAGGAAACAGGCTTCAACACAAACGGTTGTTTTCTGCTTGGTCCTAGAGCTCAACCAGTGTTAATTTAATATAAAGTAATATTGTTTTTGGATGGTAAAAAGTGCAGGGGTCAAAACTTGACTTTGGAAAAAGTGGGGGGGACATGCACCCCCCCCCCCCCCCCAAATTACGTCCATGCTGGCAGGCCAGGCTATTTTGCATGCATGCACAACAACCCTGAAAATGCAGAATAAAGATTACGTCCTGTGCAAGCTACATAAAAGGTATTTCTTTGAAGTTTAAATCCAAGGTGCCTCTTGTGCAGCTTTTGATTTCTATATTTCTAGAACTCCTCCGAACAAGCTGGACGTCCCATCCAATCTCTCTGGCATCCGTTTGCATTTATTTACTCAGGTTTGCATGGGCTGCAGAGTCAGACTTCCCATTTTATATAGTCTATTTGTAGCCATGGCCACGCCCTCCTGATTGCACCAAAAAAAAAAAAACTTTAGAAACTGTCCCTGAGGTCCATACTCACCTCTGCACTCTACCTTGAAAACTCCTAAAGGAAGGAGCTCTTCCACCTGCAGAACTTTACCTGAAGCTGCACTCATAAGGCTGCTTTTTCTAACCTTTTATTTTGGGAATCCAGTGGATCTGAAGATGCTCTGCGCCCCATCTCCCTGAAGCTGAGACTTTATTAGTGTGTGTGTCGAAGGTAGATCATTTCTGTTTTGGGCCGAGGAGGCTCGATCTGAGGGCAAGCAGGGTGAGATTGGAGGATGGGGTGCTGCGTGTCGGATGAGGACAAAAAGATCAATGACGCGATCGAGGAGCAGCTGCGGAGGGACAAGAAGGACTCCCGCAGGGAGCTGAAGCTGCTGCTGTTGGGTGAGCATCCCAGAGCCGGAAGTTAACGCTTCAGGGTCAAACACCTTTATGATAAAAATTATATATGGGCTTTAATAAAACACCTCTCTGATGGAATAGTTCGTTTATATACTTCAGAAATCCTCAGGGGGGTTGACATCATAATGTGTATTATGCTTCCTGCCACACCTGGACACGCAGACTCCACGGGAAGTGAGACCAAGTCCAGATGCTTCTCGACTATTCAGGAAACACAAAATAGGTTTATAATAAATGTAACTTCCAAACATTTCACACCAATGGAACCCGCACTCGGTGTTTTCTTTTATTTTGAAATGATCCGTTAGATGTGACTGTTTTACAGCGTTATTAAAGGAAATGTTTGAGCCACTTTTATTATGAAATATAGTTATATCTAATGTTTGTGCTTTCCTGGCCTGTGCGCGGTGCCACGAGGCGCGTAAAGGCGCGCCACTGATTTCACGCACCGTGGACGATTGAAAACTAATTTATTTTGCCAAAATTAGGGATTGTGTAAACCAGTTTATTTATTGACTAAAACGGCCTAAAAACGTAGTTATTATTTTTTATTTTTTTTGGAAACACCTACCTCTCTGGATGTATGCTGCAGGAGGAAATGAAGAGATGCGAGGGGTGACTAGGCCTCAATGCTTAACCAACATAAAAAATTGAAGTAGACAGAATATAACTGATAGTTATGTCCAGATCATGTCTTATACGGGCAGCGGTCTTATTTAATGTACTTTTTTTTTTGCCAAAAGGCTGAAGTAATGCTCTTTGTAAGATGTGAAACATGTGGTGATGACACAAATGGTTATATTCCTGTTTTTTGTCGCGTATGTGATGAATTAGAGAAACATGGATCCCTTAATCATGCCTGAACACATATTTGGGATGTTCGTGTGCGTCCTGACGCAGCTGTCAGGTCTCCCCAAAGAGGAAACAGTGAACTAGGACTTTAACCCGTCGCTTTAAAGCAACCATCGTGTCGGACGTGTTTTACAGCATCATCAGCGTGGGGGCGCTTCAGTGCCCCCGCCCGCATTCCGCTGCTTGGTGTGTTTGAAAGCCATAACTGGCCGCTGCGGACGCTCCTCATGCAAACATCATGTAAATTCACCACGGTGCAGAACACGAACCACAGGTTTGTAGCACTAGAAAGAGTTCCACTGAGCTACAAAAGAAATGGCATGCATCATAATTCCAGTTTAACATGAAATATCCATTTTTATCAGATAATCAACAATATGTGTTTGTAGAAACTGCCGCAGCAGGTGATGAAGAGTCTGGAAGGACTGAAATAAGTTATAATGAAGTTCATGATTAGCAGGAGCACGTTTAACCGTCTTGGAAGGGAAAAACTTAGGGTTCAGTTTACATCCAAAAGTTCACTTTGGATGGTGAAAATGCTTTATTCCACACCCTGAGGAACCCGGAGGATAATGTTTTGATCCTTTGACATCTTTCATAATTAGAAGAGGGGATATGAAGTGATCTTTCTACTTTCATTCGTTTAACCGGTCAGGTTGACTCACAAGTCTCAGAGGATTTCATTAAAATGGTCAGAGGCTCATTCATTCAGGTCCACAGAGAGAATCGGTGGAGTGAAGCAGGATAACAAAAGCAGCACATTTATAATCAGCTTCTTCTCAGGAACCCCAACAAGTTAAGTTTAGGTTAAGGCAAGTCTTCTTCTTCATGACAAAATCATGAAGTAGGAAACAGGTAATCATCCAATCCAATCACGTTTACTTGTATGGCACATTTAAATGCAACAACGTGCTGAACAAAGACATAAAAACATTTTTTTTAAAAGAAGTCAAGTAAAAACACAATAAAACAATCAGACATAAATGATAAAAAACAGGACTACCAAGTCAACTAGGAATAGTAAAAGCTGTAGAGTAAAAGTAAGTTTTCAGAAGTATCCAATGCAAAGAGGCAAGAACTGGAGTAATATGATCGTACCTACGTGTGCCAGCCAGGAGACGAGCTGCAGCATTCTGAACTAGCTGCAGCCTAGCAATACACCCATGATTAATACCCAAGAAAAGACTACGGCTATAGTCTAAACGAGATGTTATAAATGCATAAGCTCCTCGAAGTCATTAGTCAAAAACAGTTTAACCGTAGAAAGCTTCCTTAGGTGAAATAAACTAACCCAAACCAAATTATTGACTTGAACTTTAAAATTAAGCTGAGAATCAATCTTAACACCCAAATTAGAAACAACATCCTTCGCCTCATGAAAAGCCACGCATCAACGACTGAGTATCTACAGGAGCACCACTCGATGATGCAAACATGGTCAACTCAGTAGTAGACTCGTTAATCTGGAGGAAATTACAACCCATCTCACAAAGACAACTCAGAGCGAATTCCTTCGCTTTAATAGGAGCATAGACCTGACAGTCATCAGCACAGAAATGAAAGTCAAGCTCATATTTCCTAACATCATGTAAAAGTACCAATCGCTCAGTGCACGTGGCTATATCAATGGATTTATGTATCGATGTTTAGACAGAAAAGACTTAATTACCAAAAATGTATCATTGATATGTTTAAATTCACCCCTGAGGCCCAGATTTGTATTTGGTGGGATTTAAAAGAAAAAACAATCCTAGCTATTACAGATTAATCGACTCTCATAACTGTGAACAAAATATTACTTACATATTTTTTTAATTAAAAGTTAACAAATTTCTTTAAAACAAAAAATATATATTTTTACTTAAAAGTCAATATCAAGTTTCTAAAAATGGGTTTAATTTGAAGAAAATAGAATTTTGTAGTGCAAGAAGCCAGCATCCAAATGTGTGAACACAGGTTCTCAGGAGGTTAATAAATGATCTATTGGAGGTGATTGCCACAATACTGGTCTCAAATTTACCTTGAAATTCTGAAAAAAATATATAAAAGGAAAGAAAAAATGTTGCTTCCACAACTGAAACACTCATTCTTTACAGTATTTTGATGCTAACGGCTGTTGGCTCAATATAGAAAAATTCACTAGTGAAGTTCTTTCAGAGGAATTTTATGTAAATCATGAATCAGGCGATGCTTTTGTGTTCCGAGTGCAAAACTGTTTGAACTAAAAGAAATATTCATGTACCGACATCTTTTGCATCCTGCATTTGCCTGCAGAGTCCCTCCTGGTTTCAGTACAGGTGGAGGTAGTAGTAGTTCTCATCTACGTTATTAACACTCATTCAGGCTCCCCTGTCAAGGAGGTGTGTGTGTGTGTGTGTTGTCAGATTCATGTGTGACTGTCAAGGACACCGTGCAACTCCAGCAGTACACACGTAAAAATGAAACATTACATATATTTTTTTACTTCTAAAGAAACTCGGAGTAAACACAAAATAACTTTTACAAAAAGCAACACATGAGGCAGTTTTTTCCATGAATCATTTTAAAACAACCTTTTTTAAAGGTGTGCATCACTGAAAATACATTTTTATATATTATTTCTGATTATAATCGGTCACTCTGAGTTTTTCATGCAGGCTGAACATAAAAATGGTCTCCTACACCTTTCTCCTGCATTAGCTTCTGATAGAAGATAGACGGTAAAACTCTAGGATTTGAAAAGCCCGACAGATCTACGTCACACTGTCACTTAACATTCATGAACTCACCCATCTTGGCTTGTGACGAGGTCACAAGGAAGGCTGTTGTTGGTTTAGCTTACAGGAAACAGCAGTCTGGACTATAGAAGCTAACTGTTAGCATTAGCACCTCCACGACATGGCAGTACTCCTCCAGGATTGTGGTATCAGTGGAGATAAAACATCAACATTGCAAAGTCAGAGGTAGAGTCATGTTGCCATTATCCAATCAGAGGCAAGATGTCCAAATATCAGGAAGTAAGAGTCCAAATCCTAAAGCTCAGTTCTGATGTGGCTCACTTCTAGTTCCTGAAACAGGTGCACTAGTGCTTTTTTTCTCCTAAAGTACGACTTACAAGGCATTCTTTCCTACCGGAAACCACAGCAAACGTGTTGATTAAATGAGTGAAACACTCCTTTAACATTTGCTCAGGCGAAAGGCAACAAAATAAGAAATTTGTGAGTAAATAAATACTCACTGAAAAGTGACCATGGTTCAGTTTTAAATACATGATTGCATCAAACTTGCTTGATGAATCACTAAACAATTCTAACTAGTTCCTGTTTTGTTATGAAAAAGAAAAAAAGAGAAAGTTAAACAGGAGTCGGGATGCCTGAGTCTCTGAAGTAAAGATCCTGCAACAAACACTAAAGATGCATTCATACTTGAACATGTTGGTTTAAAATGATGCTTTTTCTGATGTGAAAAAGCTAATTAAAAAATTTGTATGCAAAAGTAATGCAAAATCAAGACAATTATTACATAATATTCATAGCTGGAGAAAAACTGAGATTTTTGAATTTGTGCTAAGAAAATGAATGTTATTCGATAACAATGGTGATTTTAAAACAGGAAAGAAATCCATAAATGTTTCAACATGAAGAATAATTGTCAAATTTTCTGTCACAGATAATATTTTTATTTAATTTTACACAATTCGAGTTTGGATGCATCAAAGTATCATCCATTAGAGACATTCATCTTGTTGTCTTCTATCATGGTTTTGCTAAGTGGAGGGTGATGGACGCGACTACAATTTATTTTCTGGTTTAACTTTACTCTTAAGCTACCTAACTTTATTTATGTTGCTGCTGCCATATGCTTAGATTCTCTTAATCTTTATTATTATTAACAACAACAACAATAAAAAATAATGAATATATTAATATTAATAATAATAAAGAAAAAGAAGCAGCAGCATACATTAAATAAGTTGATTAACAGCTTGTTTAATTTATTGGACACATCCAAAGAAAGAGCGGGAGTCACCAACCTGGTGCTCATGGGCACCATGGTGCCCCAGGAACCAAATAAGGTGTCTAAATAAATAAATAAATAAATAAAAACATTTGCAACAATATTTTTTTAAATCACAAATGCAATAATGTAGA